CCCACACGGGGCTTAAACCCACACACCGTGGGATCATGACCTGAGCCGAAGTTGGACACTCAACTGACTGAGCCACCCAGGAGCCCCGAAGTTCTATATGGTCAATTCTTCTTCTTCTTCTTCTTCTTCTTCTTCTTCTTCTTTTTGAGAAAGAGAGGGCACAAGTGAGCAAGGAGCAGAGAAACAGAGGGAGAGGGAGAGAAGTGGGGTTCACCTGAAGCGGGGCTCAAGCTAAGTGAGTTGGTTCTTAAAGTCACAGTTTATGGGACATCCCCTGCTGGGAAGGAGAGAAGGTATCTTTCCCATTGCTCTGCACCTGGGTCCCACCGCCAGCTCACACTGTGAGTTAATATTTTTATAAACCTCATAATTGAGGAACAGTTCAATTTCTTGCCGTGTGTGTGTGCGCATGTGTGTGCGCGTGTGCATGTGCGTGTGCTGCATGTCAAAAGCCTCGAATTGTTAAATGTCTAATTTTCTTTAATCCTCTTTTGGACTCTCTTCATTTTGTAATATACTAAGTGACTCAGAAAATGGAAACGGCCAGATCTCTGGCTCTCAGGGAGGCACAGAAAACCTGAAAGAAATTAAAAAGAACACACGAGATGCAGGCAAGTTGAGGCAACACATTTGGCTTCACCTCTGCGGACGGGCGGCGCGTGTAACACTCACCTGCTGTGTCAGAACAGGCGTGGCCGTGTCTATAGCTCGCGCTCACCCACGGCAAGGTGCCATGAGCTCTGGGCTGGCCTGAGGTGGCCCTTTGAAACACACACATTCTGCCAGCTTCCAGAAATGCCTGTGGGAAGGCTGCTGTGTGACGGACAGATGAGCTGGGCGGCAGTGGTGGGGTGGGGGGAGTGGAGCGGTCAAGGTGGTTACAGGGGTGTGTGTGCATGTGTTTGAGGAAGCGTCTGACCTTCCTGAGTTGGGGTTATTCCCAGAGTGTCAGACACTCAGATATTCAAGCTCGAGGCCAAATGTGCCCCCTCCCAAGCCAATTTTAGAAATTTCTGAATGGATGGTTTGCAGGTTCATCCCACCCCCCACCCACCCCCTGTCAGTGCAGGGGCAAGAGCCCCCAGAGACTGTTTTAGGTTCGCCTGGTGTCATTCCACATGGAAAGAGGCCTGGGGCTGCTCTTGGGAGAGGAAGGAGGAAGAAGCAGAAGGTGGTGATGGGTAGGGGGGAAGCCGGGGGAGTGAGGACTCAGGGGCCCAACATCCTCTTCCCCATTACACTCCTGGGTCAGCAGTTTGGTGCCCTCCACTGCCTTCTAGAACTCACTCTCCCCCTGCCCCGAGCAGTTACCCACTCGACAGGCGTAGTACGGCCCACAGAGCTTGGGGTTGTTGCACCCACCTCCCAGGTTATCAGCTGTGATTCAGGAGACACACGAGGCCGGTGCTGGGGGAGGCTGCCCCCACCCACCCACCAGCTTTGTGTGTCCCTGGGGGGGTTGGCAGAGGACGGTCACAGAGCCCTGGATGCTGCCCCTGTCTTCCCTGCCCGGTGTGCAGGCTGCTGGCCTCTGCTTGCACCTAGTTTCTGTTGAGCAGTAGTTTAGGGTAAGGGCACAAGTCTTAAGTGCTCAGTTGGATGGATGATCACATGCTCACACCGTTTTAAGCTCTAGCCCTTTCTTCTTCCTGAGGATGGAGTTTGGCAAAAGGACGAGAGGGGCCCTGGTGCCCTGGCCTCCCTGTTATCTGTCCCCAGATCTGGTTTCCCTTCCCTGGGCAACATGGTGGGCACATGAACCTGGGGCTGCGAGGGCCCTGCTTCCATGGAGTCTTACCATGAGAAGGGAGGCATTCAGTGTCACCCCAGCGTGGGTGAGCAAACCCAGAACCAGACTTTGCAGGGGCCGGGGATGCAGGAGGGGGCTCAGAGGGGCCTGGAGGAGGCAGGGATGTCTTCTGAGGGGATGGCTTGACTGCAGCCTGGAACGATGGAGGAGGTCGAAGATGAAGGAATGACCCGTGTCCCCTCCCGCAGCTGCTGATCCCGTCCCTACGACTGGGACTTTGCGGAGCCCCAGGGCTGCCCTCGGGGCAGAGCCAGGAGCAGGCCCCAGGTAGATGCTCCCGCTGAGCTCTGCAAAACCCTAGGTTGCAGGTGCTGACATTCTCTACAGGTCCAGGCACCTTCTCTACAGAGGACCCTCATGGAGCAGGGACTCTGTGGCCAGGAAGCCCTCTGGGGGACAGAGAACACTCTCAGGCCTCTGGCCAGCACTGACACTCCTCTGCTCGCCCACAGTTTCCGCTCAGTCTAGACCACAGCATGCCCGGGGCCAAGCAAGAGAGCGTGTTACAGGCCATGACCAGCTGGTGATGGACCGCGAGCCTGGGACTGTGGAATGCGCTGGAATATAGGTTGGTCAAGCTGCCTGGGACCCTGGAGGGTCCAGCCATGCTGGAGTAGCTTCCCCTGAGATGGGCAGGAGGAGGCTGGGGTGCGGGCAGTCTCGGGGAGTCCAGCGGAGAAACAGTCCGGGCCAGATTGGGCAACCAGATGTTTCCTTTGCTTCATCCTCCTTCCTGGCCGCCCCACCCCCACTGCCTCTCATGCACCGTGGTCTGTTTGCCTCGGGGATCCCGAAGACATTGACCCCCTGGAGACAAAGCACTTGTCCCATAAGTAGGTGCTGGTTTCTTCTCCCCTCTCATTCCAGGCTCGCCCAACTGTCAGCTCCCCTCCTACCACCAGCCAGTCATGTGGCCACTAACTGCTGTGTGGCCCTTGGTGCCCAGCCCCTTGGCCTGTTGGCCACCCTTGAGGGGTACCCACAGTGGGCGAGGTGCTCCCAGAGACCCCCGTGGGCCTTGAGCTCTGGAGACGAAGAGGCAGACTGATGGGAGCCACCGACTGCCCAAGGGAGAGGGCGGCTCTGAGATTGTGCCCCCTTAGAAAGGGAAGTTCTCCCGAATGGCCCCACAGCTAAACCACCCCCAAATCTTTCCTGGGACCCCTACCGTTCATAGGACTCAGTGCGGAGGCTGCTGCCACTGTGTCTGCCCAGAGAGTGTCCGCCCCTGTCCCCGCTGGCCTCCGAGCGCATGTGTCCATGCTGGGAAGAGGCTCCGAAGCTGATGAGAGGTTCTGCAGCTGCAGGACCCTGCCTGGGAAGGTGGGGGCTCAGGCCTGCGGCTCTCAGCCTTGGTCTTCCCCTAAATCATGTCTGCTAGTGGTTATCGGTGGTGGGGAAGGCGTCATTTCCCTCATTTTCTAACATCACGTGGCAATTTTGCATCATTCGTTTCTTCCCTAGCGTTTGCGGACAGGTTGGGGCCAGCGAGGTGGATGTGGCGGGGATCGAGGCCCCTGCCCTTCCTCTTTCAGTAGTCTCGATGTTTCTCTGTGCCCCTCAGAAGAATTACACTCCATAGCTCACAGCCTATTCATGACGCATACATCTCTCTATTGAATCCTATCTTCCTACTGCCTTTCTTTAAAATGTTTTTATGTATTTTTGAGAGAGAGAGAGAGAGAGAGAGAGAGGGAGACAGTGAGTGTCAGTGGGGGAGGGGCAGAGAGAGAGGGAGACACAGAATCCGAAGCAGGTTCCAGGCTCTGAGCTGTCAGCACAGAGCCCGATGCGGGGCTCAAACCCACAAACCATGAGATCATGACCTGAGGTTAATAAGATGCTTCATCAACCGATCCACCCAGGAGACCCCCCCCCCTTTCTTTAGGGTAAAGATGTATTCCCTTGGGAAAAAAACCTGACCTAAGGACATTATTACCTCATTTTTAAGTATTTTTGTAATTATTATGCTGTTCATCCCCACAGATTGGCCGTGATCATTGACATTTTGCAGGAGACACAGATTTTTACCAACGGTTGTACCAGCGCTAAGCAGACAAGCCACGGGAGATCCTGGCCTCCTGCTTCTCAGTCTGGTGCGTCCCCCTCTGAACCTTGACATTCAAGACTGTAGCAGTGTCTTTTGGTGGTTGAATTGGAAAATACGCATTTCTGGAGAAACTTTGTGGTTATTAGACCAAGGCAACCACCAAGTATACCTCTCCTACATTTTCATGTTCAGTTCAAGACCTTGATCTTGAATCCTCATGAGCTTTAGCTAGTCTATGACTGCATTGCCATAGACATTCTTCTGATGCCCACCAAACTCTGTGCTTGGAAGCTTCCAGAGGAGAATGGACAAGTTTCCTTGGTTCCTTGTAGCTTCCCGGGGAAGGTGCTCCTGTGGCCAGAAGGGAGGAGGAAAGTGAAAATCCCCAAAGAAGGGCATTCTTGGGACTCCAGAGATGGCACAGGGCTCCCTGTGGGTGGCACTCAGTGCAGGCTATCGGATGACACGTCACACATTAGGATTGGCTTCCTATGTGCGTGTGGCCATTCTGTGTAAGCTGAGGGCACTTGTCACAGGGTATACAGGTGTGTGTGCGTGTGTGTATTTAGAGTCTGAATTCCACGTGGATCAGGGAAGGAGGGGTCCCCGAAAGCTTGCTAAGTGCCCACTCTGTGCCCAGCCCTGAGCTGGGACCAGCAGGGGCTGCACAGGAAGGAAGGTCACAGCCCGAGGAGACGTTTCTAAGACTGAGAGCCATTCAGAGACTCTGAGGTCACTGTGCCAGCTTAGGGGTCTGGGCCTTGAGCTGCAGGCTCACAGAAGGGGAGCTCCCTGGGGTAGCCTCATCAGGGCTGGAGAAGGATGCTGGCCCTGATTCCTCCCCACTGGGTGCTCGCCTGGACCTGCAAGGAGTTTGTGAGCCCAGCTGGCCTTGTGCTTTTGGGGGTGTGATGGGAGGGGTGGCTCAGGTCTGGGGCGCTGTGGGCGAGTAGGGGTCTCACCCCTGGAAGTATCTGTGGCATCTGTGGCACATCTGGGATGGGTAGAAGGGTGCATGGTTCTGGTGGGGGGGAGCGGGTCTCAGCCGGTCCCCGTCCCCGGTGGCTGTGCTCCCTCTGTGCCCTTCATTTTCTGACCAGCCCTAGGAGCAGAACCTAAAGAAACCGAACAAGGAAGCAGCAGGCGCAAAGAAAAGCAGAAGTGGAAACCTTGGAGACTTGACCCTCCTCCTTGAAGGGGCCTGAAGCCGCCTGGCACTGCCATGGGTGATGTCTGTGCGGAGAAGATGAGGTGGCCGGACCAGGCCATGTGGCTGCCGTTGGCTCTGCTGCTTCTCTGGGTCCCAGGTGAGGGGCTGCCCGAGGAGGGGGAGGCTCAGCGGTGAGGGAGGCTGTGGGGGACAGGGGAGCACAGGAAGGGGCACTGGGAGAGGGGCACCCTGTGTCCACCACGTAAGGTGGATCGTACCCTGGAAACGTGAGACAGGGCATTCACCTGACCTTCCATGAGCCACATTGGGACGCCCAGAAGGGGCTTTGAGGGCAGTTTCGGATGGATTATTCCAGGAAGAAGGAGGGGCGACCAGGTGGCAGCAGAGCGGGTGGGAGAGCGGCTGAGGCTGAGCACACCGAAGGGAGGGGGGTGTGTTTTGTGCAGGTGTGGAGGAGGGGTGACGACTGGTGGGAACACCACCCTCTGGGGTGTACTGAGGTGTGTGTAGCCAGGGCAGCGCGAGGGGCTCAGCGTCCTCAAGGCAGAGAGATGGGGACACAGGGGAGGGGACGGTGGTGGGGAGGAAGGGGAGGGCAGAGAAGTCACAGGGAGGAGAGCTTCTCCAGGGAGCCGAGGACTTCCCGTTTCCAGGGATCCGGCTTCCATGCCTCTCCGGAGCTCTCTGCACACAGGCACCCACCGCCTAGACAGGTCTGTCCCTGGGGTGCCTAAAATCCTTTTGGTCGTTTTGATTACAAATTGCATGTTTTCTTTGACTCCGTTTGCTAACTGGTTGGCCACGGGGAAGCTCTTCCCTTTGTGTATTAATTTGGCAACGGGTCACCCTCCCACGGCTACTCTGTCCATCACCCTCTGGGGCGTCCTTGTGTTTTCATGGAATCTGCCTGCAGTGGGAGCTCGTGGCTCCTTTTGGATATCCATTTGTCCCGTTTGTTTCTCTCATCGGCCACAGGCTGGTCCAGCCAGAATGATGCAGTGACCATCCTTGACTTGTCTCTGACGAGGGCAGGTGTCACTGTTTCCCATTAAGTGTGAAGAGGCGTCTGCTTGTGTCTCGTTACAAAGTGTTTTTTTTTAATTTTTTTTTTTAACGTTTATTTATTCTTGAGACAGAGAGAGATAGAGCATAAATGAGGGAGGGTCAGAGAGAGAGGGAGACACAGAATCTGAAACAGGCTCCAGGCTCTGAGCTGTCAGCACAGAGCCCGACGTGGGGCTCAAACCCACTAACTGCGAGATCGTGACCTGAGCTGAAGTCAGACGCTTAACCGACTGAGCCACCCAGGCGCCCCACAAAGTGTTTTTAAAAACAGAAGCAACAGGGGCACCTGGGTGGCTCAGTCGGTTAAGCATCTGACTTTGGCTCAGGCCATGATCCTGGGGTGCATGAGTTCAAGCCCTGAGTTGGGCTGTGTGCTGACAGCTCAGAGCCTGGATCCTGCTTCGGATTCTGTGTCTCCCTCTCTCTCTGCCCTTCCCCCACTCATGCTCTGTCTCTCTCTCTCAGAAATAAATAAACATTGAAAAAAAGAAATACATTCCAGCCAATATTTTCCAAAACATAGGAAATCATTCGTTTTATCTAAGTTTACAGACTTGTTTGTAGAGGCTTGTAAATTACCCTGGTTATTTTTCTTATGACTTGTGTATGTGCATCTCCTATTTTTCTTGACTTGGCTATCACTAGAATGTTGGTATCTTGCATACAAAAAATCAAGTTTCCAACGTATACGCTAACTCCACTGTGTTCCTGTTTCTCAATTCGCTGATTTCTGCTCTGACTTTACTCTTTCTTTCCTCCTGGGTGGGGTGTATATGCGTGTGTTCCTCTCCTGACCTCCGGAGTTGGGGGATTCACTTGTTTATCTGGGGTTCTCAGGGATAGGACTTGGTGATCATGAGCAGCCAGAAGGGAGGCTGGGGTCTGGAAGAAGGGGCTGCTGTGATAAAAATCTTGGGGGTGACAGAAAAGTAGAGGAAGGGAAGGTTCTGGCTGACGGGGGGTGGCCAATGTGAGATGGGGCAAATTTGGGGGTGACTCCCAGGGCACCCCTGACCCAGGCCCATCTGGTGAGGGGCCCACACTCGGCTGTGTTTTCCAGACTGTTCCTCTATAAGTGGCCCCACCTCCATGACGGGCACCTTGGGGAGTTCCCTGATCGTGCAGTGTTCATATGAAGAGCAATTAAGAACACATTTCAAATACTGGTGCAAAAAGCCATGTTTTTGGAAAACTGTGGAGACCAAACAGTCAAGCAAAGAAGTGAGGAAGGGCCGCGTATCCATCAGGGACCATCCTGCAAACCTCACCTTCATAGTGACCTTGGAGAACCTCACAGAGGATGATGCAGGAACATACCGATGTGGGATCGATACGTCCTGGTTAGGAGGATATTTGCAAGACCCCGCCGTCCACATTGTGGTGTCTGTGATCCCGGGTGAGTTGTACGCACCCCTCCCCCAGCACCAGCACCAGGGCCCCTGAAGGGTCTCAGGCGGGAATAGTCGAGGCAGGAAGCAGATCAGAGGCTTGGAGCAAACTGTGTGTGTGTGTGTGTGTGTGTGTGTGTGTGTGTGTGTGTGTGTATGAGGTGGGTAGTAGGTGGAGAAAGAGAGTCAGGGTGGCTTCCTGGAAAAGCTGGCCCCTCTGCTCAGTCTTGGGAAGGGGCAGCTGAGAAGGCAGAGTGTGCAAAGGAGAGAGGGAGCCATGCTACAGGACGGTGGGAGCTGAATGGAGAGGCAGGTGGGGCCAAACAGCGAAGGTGAAGGTGCTGGGCATAGCGGGGCCTCCAGCCAGACTTGCAGTCAGACTTGGAGTTTAGACAGAGATCCCAGGCGGGCAGCGTCTGGCTATGGCTAGAGGAGGATGAATCTGGAGCACAGGGGTGACCCAAGGGCTCTCCGGAGGGCCCTGACCCTCCTCCACAGGATGGGATCAGGGCTGTTGGGGGCGCACAGTACCCCAGGCCCCAGGCCCCAGGGAGGCTGTGGCCCCGGGGGGTCCTCGGTCCTGCCTCCACCCTGAGTGAGCATTTTGTGTGAAATCAAACCAAAAAGGTATTGGCAAGTAGCAGGAGAGTCCGATAGCGCTATCCCGGGTCTCGTTTGTGTTTCCGCACCAGCAACAACGTCCGCCCCACCCGCAAACATCACTGTAACCCAGATCTCAACAATCACAGCTGGAATCACGACCATGCCGTCCTCATCCTCACCCACTGTCCCCATCACCATGGGAGCCACCCACAGTGCAAGCAGCCAAGAGGAGTTCCAGCAAAGCCAGGGCGTGGGGTGAGGTCCTCTGTCCCCTGTCCCTTGTCCTGGAGGTAGGCCCTCGCCTCAGGAGTTGCTCAGGGCCAGGGGAAGCCTCGAGGTGGGGATGGCAGGAAAGGAACTTCTAATGAGGGCTGATGCTCCTACCAGGGATGTGCTAAATGCCCTACACGTCACTAGGGCCCTGGGCCGTCACCGCCCTCATGTTACGTAGGTGCAGACGGCTCAGGGAGGTTAAGTGATCTGCCAGGTCACGTAGCTGCGGGAGGCGGGGGGCGGGGGGGCTTCCACCCAGGTTTACGTGACTCCAGAGTCTTGGTTCCTCCTTCTAAACCTGTGATTCTCTTTTTTTTTAAACTTTATTTCTTTATTTTGAATGGGAAGAGGGGCAGAGAGAGAGAGAGAGAGTTTCAAGCAGGCTTTGCATGTCAGCACAGAGCCCGACATTGGGCTCAAACCCACAAACCGTGAGATCACGACCTGAGCCGAGATCAAGAGTCGGGCGCTCAACTGACTGAATCACCCAAGCACCCCTAAACTTGTGATTCTTGGTCTTTTGGGGTCACAAGCCCCCAGGAGAATCCGACAATGCTCACAGACTCCTTAGAAAAGCGCGTGTAGTTGTAAACCACTTCTGAGGATCTCAGACTCCCTCACCAGGCTCCACCCTGCGTCCTGCCATTCAATGCCAGCGCTCACCACCTGGAGTTAGCACAGACCCCGTGGGTTGAGGGCTCAGTTCCATAAGACTGCCTGACTTCAGATGCCAGAGCAGTTTGGGGATCCCCAGGCCATCACGTTTCTGGCCAACTGGCTATGAATTTGGGGGTTCCCATGACCCTTTTGGGTTTGATAATTGGTTAGATAGCTCACAGAATGCACGAAAGCCCAGTGCTTACGAGTATGGTTTTATCATAAAGGAAAAAGGCCAGAAGCAGCCAATGAAGAGACACATGGGGTGAGATCTGGGAGGGTCCTAGGCACAGAACTTCCCTGCTGACTCCTAGGAGGGTCAGGGCACGTCGGGGCACATGCCATTATCTAGGCACGATTGGTTGAATCACTGGCCACATGATTGAACTCCATCCCCAGACCCCCTCTACTTCCTGAGTTTCAGGCTGGCTCAGAGCCCCAAGTCTCCATAATCATGGGGGTGGGCCTTCTGGTGACCAGCCCCAGTCTTGACCCATTCATCTCTTAGCATAAACTCGGGTGTGATCCGAGGGGTCCTTCAATAACAGAGGCTAGCCTACTATTGGGGAAATCCTTAGGATTTAGAGTCTCCCTTCCACAAGCTAGGGGCAAAGGCCATTCAGATTCTTCTTATTTTTTTTTTTTTAAGTAATCTCTATACCCCAATGGGGCTCGAACTCACAAACAAGAGTCACATGCTCTACCGACTGAGTTAGCCAGGTGCCCCCATTCAGATACCTTATTCTATGACCCCCCAAAACCCTTCCACAGGCCTTCCATCAACCCAAGTGACTATCTTAACATCAGGCAAGGTGAAATTCAGGTCCTAAACACACCACTTCCAGAACTGACTGCAGATACACACACAGGAGGCAGAACTAGGTTTTGTAAGGCCTAGAGCCTATGCAGTTTGGTGTGTGTGGGGGGACTTACGTCTTTAAGAAAAAGACATGGGGTGCCTGGGTGGCTCAGTCCGTTGAGTGTCCAGCTTCGGCTCAGGTCACGATTTCACCGCTCATGGGTTCGAGCCCTGAGTCAGGCTCTGTGCTGACAGCTCATGGGTTCGAGCCCCGAGTCCGGCTCTGTGCTGACAGCTCGGAGCCTGGAGCCTGCTTCCGATCCTGTGTCTCCCTCTCTCTCTGCCCCTCCCCTGCTCACACACTGTCTCTCTCTCCTTCAAAAGTAAATACACATTTTTTTTTAAAAAAGAAAAAGACTAGAACATTATGAATGCA